CCATTTTTGGTGTATTTGTACAATCACTTCTTGATTCATAAATAAAAATGATTTTTTGGACAAATTGTTGATGCAATAGAAAACAGACAGAAGCATGAATTCAATGATTATTTTGGACCAGAGAAAATATGACATTGCTTCCAGTTTTTGATAAAAATAAATTTTTAAATAAAAAAATAAATGGGGAAAGAACAGACTAGAATGGGAACTATTTTTGGGATGATACCTGGAGATGATTTGCGCTCTCAGAGGGTCACGTACTAATTGTAGTATATTAAGAGATTCTCAACACATTGGGCTTACCATCTAGGATGTACTGAAAATACTTTAATTTAGCTGGAATTAATTTTCGCTGAAAAGACATTTTTGAGTGTTTTGTGTGGAATTTATTTTCACTGATTTTTGACAAGTTGAATGTAAAATATAGGAAAAAAGAGTATATTCACTTGATTATATTTTCACTGAATCATCCCTTCAGTGAAAATATAGTATTTCACAGTATACCAATACTGTAGAATACTTTATTTTCGCTTGGAATTTATTATCGCTATTTTCGCTGAAGGGATGATTCCGTGAAAATAAAATCCAGCGAATATACTTTTTCTCCTTTATTTTCCATTAAACACATCAAAAATCAGTGAAAATAAATTCCATACAAAACGCCCAAAAAGCTTTTTTAGCGAAAATTTATTCCAGCGAAAATAAAGTATTCCACAGTATATGGCCACAACAGAGAGATGTGTATTTAGTCCCTACATTTATTAGTAAGTTGCCCAAATTATCAAATCTTGCTGCTTATACTTTGTGTTTTGTTTGGTATCAGTCATTTCCACATTATTATGTTTTTTTAAGGTAGAAAAACACATTTTAGTGATTTACAGAACTAGCAATGTTTTGTAGCAATGCTTGAGTGCCTTTATGGCTGATTTTTAATGGTTATTTTCAGCTGCAGACCGAATGTAGACCCCTTCGAGACCGAAGACTAAAAAGCTAGACTCATTTCCGGACTATGTGACGACTACACATCCATATATAGCTTTGTAATGGAACTAACACACCAACATCCCCCTGTCCATATATAACCAGTCTTTAAATGCATTAATTATTAACACGATTTTATTTTCGCTATTTTTGCTGATCCGCCAAATAAAAGTTTTTCTGACAATTGCGTGAAATTAAAATATATGCTTGAGAAATCAAAATAATGAAATCAAATACCAATAAAAGTTAATGCTTTTTCAGTATCCACTACAAATCTAATGTCACACATGTTAACTCTCTGAGCGCTAACTTCAGACACTACCAACGAATAGGTTCTATTTATAGCTTTTTTTCCTCAGAAAAGGGGTCAGAAATGTTTTTTATTTTATCAGTTCAGTTTAAAATAATGATTGAATTCAGTGTAAATTATAGAAAATGTTAACAAATTCATTCCATTTTAAGAGGGAAAAAAATCTGGTGCTCAATAGGTTAACATACCGGTAATGCAAATCTGTAACAAAAAGATATAAAGTACTGTATTTGCTTCAGTACACAATTAATGTGATCTTTAGTGCATATGCACGTCTACTGAAGATGCTCTTCTAATAGAACGATTATGGTAATAATGCAACCTAGTTGTGAAGAACGCAGATCAGTTAACGCTGCATTGTGAGGCAGCTGGCATCTATCAAGTTCCATTATAAGCAAGTATTTTCATAGGGTTAATGCATTACTTTTTGGTTCAAGTCAAATGATGTGGGAATACTCATGCAAGTGAAAATATAATTAAAATGAAATCAATATGGCATATCACCATGTCAAAAATATTTGAATAATAGCTCAAAGTAGTTTTAAAATTGCTCCAGGAAAAATCAAAGCATCAACAATTACCCAGTACGAAAACACCAAATGCTTCAACCCACACATACAGGAAAGTATCCTTAACATGTACATAAAATATGAAAGTTTAAAATAGAAATAACTTTTCTGTTTCCATGACGATACAATACAACTGATTGAAATGCAAGAATGATATGCAAAGTATTCTTATAAAATGCTTCAGAAGCAAGATTAAAAATAGTTAAAATATATGTATGAAACCATCAACTCAACGACCTTAATTGTACTACCTCATGTACGCTACTTCCATCCAACCTTAGGGGTACACTCCGAGGCACTTCCCAATAGTAATCTATCCCAATTATTGGCTAAGTTCAACCACAAAATACTATAAAAGGAACAATTACCATTAACTTGGAAGCACATGGCAATATAAATTCAAAACCATTACAATTTTATCACTGTCACATATAAGAATTTCAATAGGCTATCTCAAAGCGCCACAGTCATTGCGCAGTATTTTACACAAGTTGTGTACTGTAAAATACTTTATTTTAGCTGGAATTAATTTTCGCTGATTTTTGATGAGTTGAATGTGAAATATAGGAACCAAAGTATATTCGCTGGATTTTATTTTCACGGAATCATCCCTTCAGTGAAAATAGCGGAAATAAATTGCAAGCGAAAATAAAGTTTTCTAAAGCTTTTCAACATCTTCTTTAATTTTCCATGTTTTGAATTACTGTTAATAAAACTATCTCAGGTAAATAATCATATGGTAATTAACATGCATACAATTTGCATGCTGCAGTGTGAAGAAAATGCTGATACATGGCAGTGAAATGGTTACCATAGAAACGATATGGTAAAACATTAAATGCTCCTGTTTTATAATTTTCTAATTTCTCAAGACCATGGCAGTGTGAAGATTTATTCCAAGTAAGTTAAGAAGTCCTTTTATAGTGGTTTGTTGGCAAGATTTTATTTTGTATCTCCAAAAATATCCAATACATCCGGCAATTCTGCCTACACACACAAAGATAACTCAGTCAACTGCGAATATGTACAAAGCAGCCAAGTACTCTTGTAAAAAGAATCATAATTTAAAATCGGTAAAAAACATGATATATTTTTGTCTTAAAAAGAATTCATTGATATATGTGAATATTTAAAAGAATTAAAAATATTAAAATATTAAAATAAACACTAATTTATCGATAACAGACCTCAGAGATTACACATAACTACATAATCATGCATTACAAATACATAAATTGATGCCGAATCCATAGAAACCCTGTAAACCATATTACTTTCATCGATATTGATTTCCATAATTTTAACAGCATTTGTGAGAGTAAAAGTCACTGTGATTGACTCGTTGTTTAATAATACCGAACAAAATGTTCACTATAAAGAAATTTAATTTGTAATTATCTCTAGTAACAACATTTGTGAACTTTTGTCTGACCTTGCAAAATTGAAGCGGTTTACAGTGTGCACCTACGGCATCAATTTGTTAATACCATAAATGTATTATGGAATTGAACCAGGCAGTTTTTAATACCATAAATCCAATGTTAGGAATGCATACTAATGGTAAAACTTGCAACTAACATGTTTGTTTTGTATGTGCCTTATAATACACTGCAGATGTATCTTTATTGGAGATGTGCTTACTGTTATAATATAGAGTCCTGTTTGTTTGAACCAGACAGTCAGGACAATGCATTGTTTGAATCTGGCAGTCAGGACAAAGCATTGTTTGAATCTGGCAGTCAGGACAAAGCATTGTTTGAATCTGG